ACTGAGCATTCCACTTTTCCATCTTCCAGCAACAGCTAAATACTAGCGAGAAGAACGACTATCACTGGGTCCCACTACAAATCATGGGCTCTGCTTCGATAGTAAGGCCCAATAGTTTTTGGGCTTTTAGGATTACAATTAGTCTCATGGAAAGATTTTTTAATGTATTTTATTTTCAATTTCCGTTTCAGTTTCATTCATGTCCTTTCAAAGGAGGAAAGAAATAAACAATTGGATTATGAATTATATATATTAAATTTTCCTCGAGAGTGAGAACGATAATACGAAAGAAAATCTAAGGCACACACAAGTTGGTTGTGGATTAGACACAACCCATCTGATCCTTGTCCGTATCTCTTCCTCCATTCTTCACCTCCAGCTTCTCATCCATAACTTGCCAACAATTTTTTCAACTGTTAAAAATACATAATTCATCACCAACATTTTAACTTTCAACTAAATATATATAAACGTCGAGATATATAATAAGATAAGCTTTCCTTCACCTCTCCCGAGAGCTCCATTCTAAATCATCAAAAAGGTGTGTGAGATTTCTCTGTTTAAGACTAAACAGAGACACTGTGTCTGAATCCTAATCGTAGCTATGACTATGTCTAAATTCCACAAAAGATATAAACTAACTCAGGCCTTTTTACTCTTTTGACAGACAAGAAATGGAGATCACAAACGTTACCGAGTATGAAGCGATTGCAAAGCAGAAGTTGCCTAAGATGGTATACGACTACTATGCGTCCGGTGCAGAGGACCAATGGACTCTTCAAGAGAACAGAAACGCTTTCGCAAGGATCCTGTGAGTTTCTTTGTTTTTCTTTCTTTTGCTTAAGATGAGATACAGTTTCTTCTGTTATTGGTTTTTATCAAGAGATGTGATTTGATGATATACATACCTTGGGATCGTTCAACAGCTTTCGGCCTCGGATTCTGATTGATGTTAACAAGATTGATATGGCAACAACCGTCTTGGGGTTTAAGATCTCCATGCCCATCATGGTTGCTCCTACTGCCATGCAAAAGATGGCTCACCCGGAAGGTAAAAAGACCTCTGCTTTTTTCCTGAAACATCCTGTTAAAACTGAGTTATGTATAGAGGGAAAACTCGATTTAGTATCGGTAGAGACAAGGGCTAAGGCTTGATCTAACGACTGTGATGAAAACTAATGCAGGGGAATATGCTACGGCTAGAGCTGCATCTGCGGCTGGAACCATCATGGTATGTTATTATATTATTACGAAAGATTTCATTCAAGCAAGATTTTTAACCTTATCGGCGTTTGGAACTTCTTTATCCGTGATCCATGCATACATATGTCACTAGTTTGAGTTCTTCCATGATGTTTTCAGACACTATCTTCATGGGCTACTTCCAGTGTTGAAGAAGTTGCTTCGACAGGGCCAGGGATCCGGTTTTTCCAGCTCTATGTATGTGATCTTAGTCACTTGTTGTACATCCTGATAAAGCTGGTTACACTTGATGGTTCACATGTTATCATTGTTCTGAGTAGGTATACAAGAACAGGAATGTGGTTGAGCAGCTTGTGAGAAGAGCTGAGAAGGCTGGGTTCAAAGCCATTGCTCTCACTGTAGACACCCCAAGGCTAGGTCGCAGAGAGTCTGATATCAAGAACAGGTAAAGCCACGTCAGTTGATGTGACAATGTTTGATTGGATTCGAACACGCATAAGTAAAAATTATAGAGTAACGCTTTGTGTTCTTCCACTACAGATTCACTTTGCCTCCAAACCTGACATTGAAGAACTTTGAAGGTCTTGACCTTGGAAAGATGGACGAGGTAAGCATCCATCGGACACTATATCCACTACTATAATCTGAATCATGGCAATGAGCCACTCACTAAACAAGTCTTCAGTATACAAGTTTCAAATGTTGTTATGTTTCCTGACATTGTTGTGTTTCCACCTGCAGGCCAATGACTCTGGCTTGGCTTCATATGTTGCTGGTCAAATTGACCGTACCTTGAGCTGGAAGGTAAGAGAGTACAAAAGATTAAAAGATCACAACAAAAGTCTTGATTCAGATTGCTCTAACTTTCATCTACACAAACAGGATGTCCAGTGGCTCCAGACAATCACCAAGTTGCCGATTCTTGTCAAGGGTGTTCTTACGGGAGAGGATGGTGAGCTAAAATCTGACAAACAAATGTTTCCATCACTTTAGTTTCATAAACATACCTGACCAGATCAACTATTATCCTCGTGCAGCAAGGATTGCGATTCAAGCTGGTGCAGCAGGGATCATTGTGTCAAACCATGGAGCTCGCCAGCTTGACTATGTTCCAGCAACAATCTCGGCCCTCGAAGAGGTAGATCATGCTTGACTACAAACATCATTTTGCATTGTAAGAAAAGTGTTTTTTTCAGTAATTTCAGCTCTGTTCTCATGTCTTCAGGTTGTCAAAGCAACACAAGGCCGAGTTCCTGTCTTCTTGGATGGTGGTGTTCGACGTGGCACTGACGTCTTCAAGGCTCTTGCACTTGGAGCCTCAGGGATATTTGTAAGCATCATATTTTCAATTACCACAAAGCTGCTTGAAACCATTGATAATAATAACACAGTATTTCTAATGGCCTCAATCTCAGATTGGAAGACCAGTGGTGTTCTCATTGGCTGCTGAAGGAGAAGCTGGAGTGAGAAAGGTGCTTCAAATGCTGCGTGATGAGTTCGAGCTAACCATGGCACTAAGTGGGTGCCGGTCTCTAAGTGAAATCACCCGCAACCACATTATCACAGAATGGGACACTCCGCGCCATTTACCCAGGTTAT